CAGTCTGGGCGGACGGTCGCAGGTCTCGCTGGCCGGCGCTGGTACCGTTGCGCCGGGCAAGTCGGAGGACAGCCTCTTGGCCGCGCCGGTCGGCTCGTCTTCGGCGGCTCCCAGCGACAGCTGGGCCACTCTGGCCTGTGTCGGCGTCGGCGTCGGCGTCGGGAGTACACCGAGGGAGCCTGTCGTCATGGCGTTGGCGGGGGCACAGTCGGCGCCCACTCGACGACGCCAGCTCCGCTTGCCCGGTTGGCTGGTGAGGACGCCGAGTCTGCTGAGAAGTCCTGACAAAGAGGGCGACGGCGAGGCTGCCACGGCGACTGCTGTTCAGGATTCGGCTGTCTTTGATGCGAGGGCGGCGCATCTGCTTGGTCGTTCGAGCCGGGTTGGTGGTCGCGTTGAGGCGGCTGAGGGGACTGGGGCGATCGGCGAATCACTTCGCGGGCATCAGTCGGTCCGGTTCCAGGTGGAGGAGAAGGTCGCTAGGCAGACAGCCGCCTACACAGTCTTGGCGACTGAGTAAGTGGGCTTGGTTTCAATGGGAGGATTGGCGACTTATTGGGCTGTAATCATGCGAAAAAGGAAGAGAAAAGGTAATCCGTCTGCGTCCTCACGGCCCCGGCCGGATCAGTTCTGCTAAATTCTTAGATTTCCTCCGACCAGCGGTGCGGGGGCCTCTGGACGAAATGCTCTTCTGACGATTGAATTCTCCAACTAGCGATCATGTCTTACCTTCTCCTGTGCCTCGGGCTGGCGTGGGTGGCAGTGGCAGTGGCTATGCCCCTAAACCCCACTTGTCACACGAGAACTGATAACCGTAGGCGTGGCAACTCAGTCGAAATTCCCATTAGCAAAATGAGTATATGTGAAGACCAAGGTGGTGTGGTCTTTGGTATGGCCGCGGTCTCCTTTCGTTGTGGAGAAATTGTCGGGAGGATTTTCTTTTTGTATGATAGTGCATGAAGAAGAGTTTTGGAGGTCGATCTCACCAGAATCGCGTTGTAGTGCAGCCGTTCGGCTTTACTAACACGTTCATGAGGCATACTCCTTCGTTTTGTGTGAAAACGGGCTGAGCTTTCGTCCATCATATGATGGACATCATCAGAGCTGGATCCCACCCTTGCAACAGTCTCACGTCAACACTGGGCCAAGACCTTCGAAATGAAAATCTACTCAACAATGTTGTTTTAGCAGGTTGATCGAATCCCAGTCACTCTTCGTATATAAATTATTTGACCTTGCTTTCGCAACTTGGTCGTATTGTCAGGGAGACCCTGAGGAATGCAACTTTTTCGGAGTTCATGGTAGGCATGACAATTTCCAGATTTGGACCGGCAACTTAGTGCATTCCCAGACATTTCGCCGGCATCGTCAGAGAGCCCTGTTGCTATTAGCACCAAATTACAGCTCGTCAAAGAGGCAAATGAAGCCGAATTCTTGGCCAATTGTCTGCTGAGCGGTTGCGGTAGCTCTCCTGTACTGTTGCATTCACCTTTCACTCCTTTCACTTTCACAATTTCTTGTTTATTTAAACCCAGTTCAAATGTGACCTTTTGAGCTTATTTTGTGAGAAGATGTCATTGAAGTTCGCATACCCTTGCCTTCAAAATGGCTGTCTCATCCGTCTGGCCCCTTTCTCATCATCACCGCCAACAGGGTTCGAAGCCAAGTCATGTGCTTTAAGTGGCAACAACTTGTCACTTCGGCTCGCAATCACGACTTCCAATCAGCCAGAGACCAGATCTGACTGTCAGTGCAAGCTGGCCACTGCCAAATCACATTTTCCAGCGGGA